ATTGGTTCTGATTCCCCCCCCCCCCACCCTAAGGAAGCGGCAGATCTTTGCAGCCTTGCAAAATTGCCCTAACAAACTAATATCATACGTGCAAGCTAGCACCTCAACTCTTTACATACCTGAATATCTCCAATCCACTGAGTCTCTCCATTTTCTGAAGCTGTAAGCTCTTCGACTAATACTGATGGGAACACCCCAACGCGTCCGTTGAATTCTCCTTCCCAAAAGCCATCATCATCTTGATTTTCCTTGTTCAAGATACGGATGATCGCTCCTTCCGGGAAGGACAGCTCATCATCTGTCTGGCCCTCGTAATCATAAAGTGCTTTTACAAAACAGACTGAAGAATGGAAGAGGGAAAAAAATGTGTAATTGGCATGAGCTTAAAAAAAATAATAAGTACTACACATACTTTTATGTATGTTGGACTCCATGATCTCAAAGGCCTTTTCCAACCTAAATGATTCCATGATTCTGTAATTGCTGAGTCAAATTATTTTAGTTTTCCTTAATTTTAGTTAATGTTAATCCCAACGCTATGTGACAGCCAGGTAAATTACGCAGATTTGATATGAGATAGATAATTACTGAGAACCGTTGTACTTAGATACAGGTCAAATAGGAGAAATTCTCATCCGCAACATCCAAACTCGATATGCAGAATGCTTTCGAGAACAGGCTTAAAATACTATTTATTTATTTATTGGTACCTACCACTGGAGTCTCCGTTCAGGCTGCCTGAGACTAAGTCGGCCTCAGTGGAGTTATTTGAGGTGTGTGATCGACTATCCAGTGCCGCAAGGGACTGTAGCATACTCAGCAGACTGCTGGACGTCGGGAACTGCAGGTACTTCTCTGGCACATAGCCCACTTGACCCGCTTTATTCCGTGCCTGTACATAAACGACATAAAAGATGCTCGGCTTTTGCATACCAGTCTGAAAAGAATCCAAGTACTTTCTCCCAAAGTTCCATTTTCTAAAAGTAATAGCGAAAAGAAAACAATCTCAGAAAAATGATACCTTTACCCAGTCTTCCATATCTCCGTCTTCAATGACCTCCAATACCTCATGCTCCTCTATGGTCAATTCATCTGGCTGAGAAGCCTGCAGTATGTGACAGGGAGATTAGAAAATAAAAGTGTTTTCAGGTGCACGGGACAGGCAGTGTAAAGATCGTTCTCATCCAGACTTTCATCAAAACTTAAGTTTTTTAAAAAATGGAAAATTTTATGATGTAGCATACTTTAAAACATATTAATAAAGGTTCTTCTGTATACCTACTGGCACTCACAAGACCCTGTTTCACTCAAGAGGATAGATGGAAGCATCCTGAATACCACCCAGCGCGTCGAACACTATTTACTTTTGAAACCCTAATTACTCCGTACTCTGAAGTCTGCCACTGGCTTCGGCTACCGCAGCGGTGTGATTTACAACTGACCTAGCAGTGCTAGCAGAAGTAAATAGCATGAATGCAGTTTGTCAGCAAAGCTTTGACTCATGAATGGTGGTTTCACTATTACAGTACAAAGAAGAGCTTTGTTGTACAGCATACAAGCATGCCTAACACCGAGAAGGCATTTCGAATATAGCCACGCCGGCTCAGCAACAGAAATTACAACATCTTCTGGTGGCAGCTGGTCTCCTTGAAGCCAGGCAGGGACATCTCTACATACGTCAATTCGTACATGGACTCCAGAACTCTGCTGGACTGTAGCATAAATGTGTTTCACGACGTCACGGATTTTACACTGCTGTGGTTTTTCACAACTAGATGTTAGATATATTTAATGTGCACCATTATTGAGCCAAACGCTGACATTCGACCTCAAACTCCCACAGAACAGTTACATCTATTATTCGTTTGTTGCATAACTCATTTTAATCTAATTTGTGATTTTTACCTTATATGAATAAACAACTTTGCAGGTGAGAGGATAATTCCTTAGAGTACCAGAAGGACTAGAACTACTGTCATCAAAAACATCCATGCTGTCTTCAAACTCTTCACCTTCTTCCTTTTCTGCATCAGTGTTAATCTGTTAAAACAAATTAAATTTGGCATTACACCATCAAGTAAAAATAAGTGAAGAACTAACAATAGCAATGAGTTGATCAGTATTCTTCAGTGTGGTTTTTTTACTACTTACGATTATTGAAACTGGGCAAAAAACCCAGTAACTAAATACTCTTCAACATACGATTCCCAAACAACATCAGGAAAGCAGTCACCAAACAAAGCAAATACAGGGAAGCGAAAGAATAAGAGCTGTCACCAAATTACATCTTTGCCTAACTCAGCTGTATTTCTTCATTCAAGCACGGGGCCCTGTACTTCAAAAACAAGTGTAGAAGATTTTGGAAGCTCCAACTCAACTGCTGGACAGTTATCTATTTTTTATATAAGCTGTGAAACAGTGACTACTGGACGTTGGAGATGCCGTTTCAGAGGAATAGCAAATAGTTTAATGGAAAAAAGAGTCACTTACTGAGAATTTACACTATTAAAGGATTAAGGTACC